GGTTCAACTAAGAAAATATGTACACTGCTTTGACTCAGTAAACTCATACTCGGTATGGTTCATCTTCTTCATATTTACTTTTGCCCATATTAGAAAACAATTAGCTTACTAAACAAATTTGAGTATTTGGGAAGAAAAAATCTACTTTGAGTCTCTCTCATTTGACTAAGAATTACATGATATTTGATAAGCTTGTTTAAAAATGGACATATCTAAATATTATTGTAAACACCCATTGATTTGTTTTACCTGCAATATAAGTATTTTACTTAGTTGGCTTACATAGTAGCTAATAATATTTGTTAATGTAATTTAACTGCTGTGAACCTTTACTGAACAAATATTGAAATTTATACAAGTCAAAGAAAGAGAATCTCTAATGACTTTTGTAAAAGCTTCCATTTAATAGTTAAGGAGAAAAGTTTATATGACATACCAGATGCAATTAACAGTAGATTTTACATTTAATAAAAAGAAAGAAGCATATGTATTTGCTTTATTCATTCCATCATAATTTGCATTAGAGCTGTGGGTGTTTAATGAGCAAATTCCAGCTAAAATGCTATATTGATTTTCTAAGTGAACTTTGTAATAGCTATCTACCTTACAAAAGCTCTCTGTTTACAATTGTTTTCTTTACTAAAAAGTAAAAATGTTTTAGAATTGATGAGCTTAGCATAATGATTCTTTTAAAATAAAGAGCTCTTTTACAGTATGCAGGGGCTTTAGTTACAAGGAGAAAGATGTTATTAAATTCTTCCAAAGCAAATAAAGTTTATTCAACTAAATAGTAATGTCCTATTTGTATATATTACAATGTTTTGGAAAAACATTGGAAAATAATACTTTTTTTAAATTTAGCACTATAGGATTTAAATATTTTAACTCTTGAATGTCATAATATGTATATGAATTGGCAAATGACACAGTTAATTTTAACTTAATACTTGACTATTCATACTTAACTTTTCATGTGTCATTTTCTTGCTTGAAACATGAGTTCTATAAGAATTTGTGTTTCTTGTTGGTCAGGCCTCAAGGTAAACAGGATAGGGTTGGTTGGTGCACCATTGGAAGGCCTCCAAGAAAAACCTCATGGTGTCAACCAAAGCAGTTGGTGACTAAGTAGCTCGTTCACGTTTTTCTTTGGATCAGGCATCAAGTCAGTGTGCCAGTATGGGGTAGTATTTTGCTGGATATTCCATAACTTGAATGGGATATAGGAGCCTGACTGATTACTCTTAATTAATTTTTTCCCTGCCATCTTTAAGAAGCATAGGGATGATAATCTGGATATAATTTACTCTTCTTAATATGGAGTATTTTTATGTCACTCCCATAGAGTTGTCAGTGGACAGCTTACACTTCACATACTTTCCTAAATATGACACAAAATGTTTTGGTTTGCTGCTTCATCTCAACCCAAATGTGTATGTATTTCAATAGCTTATTTGAAGAATCCTGTGATCCTTAGTGTTCCAGACTTTGACTTGCGACTCATCCATAGCTCATTCTGAATGGCAAATGTTGTTCTTAACAACATCGCACTTTGGACTACCTGCAATTGTATAACTGTTACAGTATTCCATATAGTATTAAAAAAAAGGAATTTGTAAAATATTAGAGTCAGAAATGTGTAGGCATTGCATAGCAGAAATATCTAACCTAAATTTATCAGGAATTTTGGCTGTTAAAAGAATAGGGTGAGTTAGCCTTCTGTACACCACTAAAATAAGTTAGATGAGGACTTTAAGTATTTTTTTTTAAACTAGTAGCCAGTAAATGCCATGTAGCTAAGTGTTTTTTCTCTCTTATTTTCTTTTTTTTTTAACTTAGATTACCTTGCAAGCATCTTACATGTTTTTCTATGCTCTCCCTAAACTATTTTAATATAAAAAAAAAACAACTTGCAATATTACTTCTCAGAAATAGAAGCAAAAGCCAAATACTTGTTCTTAATATGGAACTACTGGGTTTTTTTTAATGTAGTTGTTGGATCTGGTCATTGGTATATTTACTCCAATGCCTTAATTTAATGGAAGGATAATAAAATAACAAGAGTTGGTCAATTTAAGCCATTTTTCCATAGCCAAAAGACAGGTTTTTTTATAAAGGACCTTTGTGTGGGGGAAGGGTTCACTGCTCAAGGCAATTAGCTCTGGGCTGCTGTCAGGGTTGGTAAGATTTGAGATAAACAGGATGTTTAAGTAACTTTAAAAAAACTCTTTTTCTGAATATTTTCACACTGTTATGTATATATTACTTTGCCTTAAGGACAAATAAGCAGTAATCTGGCTTTAAAAAGCCTGTATAGTCATTATTACCACTGGTTATTGTTACGCAGAGAGGGAATTAGATATGCCCAAAACACAGCCCCTCTAAGTGTACTTAGTTGCTCAAGATCCATTGTAGCAGTCAGCAAATTGTGGTTTTCCATGCTGAGATAGGGATAAAGTCTCACAGAAGAAGGGATGTGCTCAAAGAGACCAGAAAGAAGTTAAATAATATGGGAACTAATTAACCCCAAAACAGTAATAAGTGACAAATCTTCAGTTATTTTAGACAGCTTTCTATTCATTCCAGCAATTGTTTTCATTATGAAAATTGCAGAATGTTTCCACTTGAGCTTTATGGAAAGGGTTCTCTTGTGCAGTGTCACTGCTGGATAAACTGCCACTGTTGACTGGTAAAACTACAGTAGACAAATATATTAAGGCACAGATAGGTAATAATTATCATACAAAATTAAACTGCTTGTGTATTCCAGACCCAACCAGGACGTAGCAGTTGAATTGTGGTTTACCCAGGCAGTCATTGCTGAGACACTAATTTCCCTGCCATCACAGATCTCGGCAACCTAAGTGGAAGTCTGGTGAGCTGGAGTGCACAACTCACCTCAGGCAACTTGTTCTTGCTGAGCCACCTACGTGTGCAGATATCAGACTCGTCCTTTGCAAGTGCTGCAATCATATGCCTGACCACAAATCCATATGCATGCAGTTTTGCAGCTGCCTTACTCATGCCTCTGTTTTTCTATTCTATGTCAAGCAAAGCTTTCTTTTTGCAGGGAAAATATATCTTAAGGGAAAAAAAAAAAAAGGCACTATTCTTGTGAAACAAGTAAATACTCAAATAGAAGAGAAATAAATCAGTGTTTGTTAATTTTTTGTATATTTCAAGATTTGTGCTTCTAATGCTGATTGATTTTCCCCCCCCCCCCCCCCCCCCCGTTTGTGGGGATGCAACTTGTTACAGCTCTGAGTTGATCACTGGGCTTGCAGATTTTCTGCAGATTTTTGTGAGAGGACAGTCTGCACTTCCAGAAGTAACATTTAGACTTTCCCTGTCTCTTTTTGTCCAGTCTGCTGTTATCGTGCAGTCTTTTGCTAGACCTGCAAAAAACGCTTCCTTGCTCTTCGGGAACACTCTTCTCCCCATTTCAAGACAAGAGGATTGCTTTCCTACATTGAACATCTTCCTAATTCATTGCTCTGGACTCTTTTCTGTTCATCTTCTCACTCATCTTATATCCCTGGTTATCTAAGCTGCTTGTGAACTGTATGGAAACTTAACACTTTTTTATTTCAGTTGGTTGAGGAGTTTGGGGTTTTTTTTTGATACTGATATAGTGTATTTTATGCCAGCAATATTATTGCTGCCAAAATACACTACTATGCTCCTGTTGTTCCATTCTGTGAAGAACCATAAAGTGTTTTATGTTACATCATACGATGAAGTTTTTGTATAATAATGCACAAAGATTAAGTAAGAATCAACTAACATATAAGGCAACAAAGCTGATGTCAGTTGAAGTAAGAATGGAGGGATAAAAACGCTAAGCTAAACTGAAGAGGGAATAAGCCTTTCTTGGAGATGTTAATGACTTGAGTGGTTCAGAGAGGAGCAGACAGTTCTGAAGGGTGTAAGGAAGCCCAGCAGAAATGGTTTATTACAGAATGTTTTTGAGAAATAAATGCCAAAATTTAAAAAAAACTGCAGTATGGTGTTGGGAGACTGTGGCTAAGCATCAACTTGGCAGACTAGAAGGGGAGCATGGAGAATTCTGGAACCTGGAGACCCCAGCTGATTCTTTTGGAGTTGACTATCAGAAAGGATACAGCCCTCTATCTTGGAGTACAGTGGCCTTACTACGGAATCATCAAAGTCCCTAGACATTTTGACTGCAGAGTTTTGTGATGACTGTGAGGATAGATTTGCAGTATTGCAGAGGGAAATGATGAAAGTATGAATAAAGATTTTAGCGGAGGCAGGGTCGAGGTAAGAATTCTGGCAGTGTGCCAGAGATGGTGTTAGACATATTGACAGGGGAGAGGCAGGAAGAAAATGTAAGCTAGGGATGAGGAATGACTTGAAGGTGTTAGTTTGCTCCCAAGGATAGACAGTAAATCTTAGTTTATTGGCACCTAATGCTCCAAGGTCCATGTATGCCGTAACAGATAATATAACAGTATATTACACAATAAAGTAAAGGCTTGGCAGAGAAGGAGAGATGCCAGCTGTGCCACTTCTGTGATACCAGAGACAGACTATGAAAATATTAGAATTTTTAATATTTAATATCAGTGTTCCACCCTGATAGGAAGCAGTGTGATGGTAGAAGTAGTTTTAATGGATCATTATTTTTAACTCTCTGTCCTAGAAGAAACCTACTAGTACCTCATGATTCTGAGCTTTAAAAATTACCTTTCCATTAAGCAAGTATTCAGAATACAAAGAAAATAACTTCCTTCCCCTGTTTGATTATACAGGAGTGATTTTGAAAACACATATCTTTATTTCATTCCTTAAAGTATTCAGTTTAGCAATGAACAGCAATTTACTGTTATGTCTGAAGAGTAATACAGACCTTATCCAGAGTAATCCAAGGTCGGTGGAGAAATGTTGATTTTAGGAGATGCTGGCAAAGGCCCATGTAAGTGCATCTAATAGTGTCTTTCCCTGTCAAACTTGTTTGTTAAACACACTGGTTACTTTTGCAGCTCTGGTGGAAGAAGTTTATTCTGCTCAACGGGAACGTGATGAGGCTGTCATGGCAAGGCTTAGGTTAGCCAATGAAGAGAGAGATGAAGCATATCTGCGAGTCCAGCGTTTAGAAGAGTCTCTCAAAGAGTAAGTATACATTTCCTGCTCTGTGCAAAAAGGTGGTTGTGTCAGTCTGTGGCTGTCATAAGCTGCTCGGCAGTGGTTATATAGGAAAACTTAACACAAACTTCTCTGATGAAATACCAAGCTAGTGCTAGTCTTAATGTGCTATTGGTTAATTTGTTAGCCACCCTATACAACAATGTTTTTCTCTGGAGACTGAGAGCAAGGTGAATAATTTTTGTCACAAAAATTAAAAATATAATTAAAAGGTTTGGTATTGATTTATTCAGGGATAAATAAGAAAAATGTGACATTTTCTAGGGATCTTTTGACATGGAGTACCAGAATGTCAGTCAGAACTTGTAATGTATAGGAAATCAATCAAGCCTTTAAGCCCACTGGACACTTTTTCCTTCAGCAAAATTTCTACTAATGGTGTGAGTGAAGTAAAAATATATGTTTTTTTCTTATCTTTAGTGTAGGAGAAGTTTGTAAGGCAATTATCTTCATGGAATTTTATATATGCCATTTTAACACAACGGAAATAGGCAGTCTCATGTTAAACAAAACTGTGAAGTCAGGAGAGGAAGATCAAGAACAGTTTATCTTCTCACTGTAGGACATAGGCAGCTTTGAAAATACAACTTGCCTCTCCTTGTAATCCTTCTCCATCCGAGTTGTGATCATCTTGGTTACTGTCTATGGTAGTCCCCCAGAGTCTAGAGGGAGTGACAAATTTCTGCTGTTTTTCCACCAAGAGAAATACAAAGTAAGCATGGAAGTAGATAGAACAAGGTAGGAGACTGAATAGGTGCAGTTGTTAGTTAATTCAGTGGCAAGCCATTACATTTTAATCTTTCCTCTTTATTGCAGAAACCCAGTCTTCTTTTGGGTATTTTTCTAGGTAAGGCCAGAGAATGTTATCTAAATAAATTTCAATAATCTGCACATAGTTTGTGCACCATTACTCTGTGGAATTTACAAGTTGCTAGAGTTTGTCACAGCCTGTAAGTATGACTCAACAGCAAGATTAGGAGATTCCATTCCCACAAGAACTTTCCTCTTTATTGCAGAAACCCAGTCTTCTTTTGGGTATTTTTCTAGGTAAGGCCAGAGAATGTTATCTAAATAAATTTCAATAATCTGCACATAGTTTGTGCACCATTACTCTGTGGAATTTACAAGTTGCTAGAGTTTGTCACAGCCTGTAAGTATGACTCAACAGCAAGATTAGGAGATTCCATTCCCACAAGAATCAGTGCACAATTTGTTAGAGTAAATGTCTCTCCAGAGCCCATTATAGGCATACGTGCCTCTTAAATCTTGCTTTGAGCAGCAATCTATGAGGAAATTACAAATGTACTTTAAATTCCAATACAAGGCATCATAACTGTGAGCGACTCCAGTCTTTCCAAATTCTTCTGTCACTCTTCTAGTGTTCCAAGAGTAAAAAAAGCAAAAAAGTTTTGTATGGCCTCAAACGAAACTGTGTATAAGATGTTAGCATTAACTCAAGATCTTTGGGGTTAAAGCACTCAAGTCCTGTACCAAATTAATTAGGCTGGTCAACAGACATAGTCAGTGACTTTTGGGTTTCTGGAGGAAATCACAGGTTATTCTGTGAGAGGCTTATTGCTGCTATTTCTAGACACACATGTGGCAAGTCTTGACACACATGAATCTGTCAGAATACTGTCACTAGTTTTCACTTCAACCCCTTCTGTCTGCTTCACTCATGTACTGGAAGACCAGCCCAATTCTAAGCAGAAGGATGAGAAAAGAGAAGACACTCCATTTCTTGGAGAACATGCATACTACATTCCCCAAAATAATGATATTGCAGAAGGCACTGGATACACTGGTAATAACAAAAAGGGTACTAGTACAAGGAGGGGGTCAGTAACTCCCTTGGCTGATAGCTTGGAGCTAAGATATAGTTATACCTTATTGCTATCATGTAGAGAATAACAACTGTTGTGGCTGTCATCCACCCTGGTGCTCTTCCTGATACCAGGCCTTAGAAAGGCCTGGTATTCTGATGCCATTCACAGTCTCAGAATTGGCATAGGAGATTTCCCTGTGGAGGCAGGTAAAAATTGCAATGGACTAAGCTGCTACTGCTGGTTCAGTACCTGATATACATTCCTCTCTGCCTAAACAGTGAGCCATTGTCTGTAGCCAGTATCTCTTCCTGCATATTCTGCAAGAGTGCAGGTCAGGCTTCTGTGTGACATTTGCCGTCATGACAGCCAACACCAGGAAACAAGACTGGGGACAAAACTAATTTAAAAGAACTGTCCTTGCCAGACTTCATGTGTATTGTAAGATCATAGTTCCAGTATTTTCCAGGGTCTCCTGTTTTGCATTACAGAAACTGTGGCAATGGCAGCCTGTTGGGAAGAGTCATACCCAAGTCTTTCATATCCCGGGTGCTATGTGTCCTGTCACTGAGGGCATCCTGGGCATGAACAAAATCCTTAGGCAGGTCCCAAGCAGGCTTATGCCTCCTGCAGGGCACAAAGATGATGCTGAAAGGTTCTGAAAAATGCTACATGCTTTTATTTTCATTTATAGTTTTAGTGTCGGTCATCAGAGCAGTAAAAAAAAAAAAAAAATAAAAATCCTGATAGACAAAACCCACAAAGATGGAGAGCCCAGAAGCTTAGTTTGTTCCCACTGCAAAGTTTGTTAACTATCCATACAGCAAGCACTTTATGGTAATGAATTACTCGTCATTAATTGCTGTACATAATCCCCTGAGAGGGAGAAAAACTCATTCTTTATGTCCAAGTAATCATCATGTTCCCTTCATCTGATGTCTTAGTATCTGCCTCTTCCCTTACCTTGCTACCCATCCAGCCAAACTGCAGGTTTGATAGGAATATCTTAGTACATATCAGACAATGTAAGAAAAGAAACTTCAAAGATGTTTTGCTTCATTCCAACAATTTATATTCAGTATTAGCTCAGCTCACAGTAACTGTCCATTTGTGCATGTGCTAGGTTCACCCTGGCTGGAGGCCAGGTGCCCACCAAAGTCTCTCTATCACACTCCTCAGCTGCACAGGGGAGAGGAAATACAATAAAACCCTCGTGGGTTGCCGTAGGACAATTCACCAATTGCTGTCACAGGCAAAATAGACTCAAATTGGGGAAAAAAATTAAATTAATTTATTACCAATCAATTCAGAGTAGGATAATGAGAAATAAAAACTAAACCTTACAACACCTTTCCCCCACTCCTCCCTTCTTCACAGGCTTTATTTAATTTTACAGATTCTTGGAACTTTTCCAACTACCACCCTTAATATTTTCTTCCTGATGTGATGCTGGTTATTCAAAAGGTCAAGTTCTCTGTCTCAGACATGGAGCACATGGAAGTTTGGGGTTTTTTTAAGAACATCAGCTACTTGTGCTACACTCATCAAGTTTTAGAGCACAGGTCACTCCTTCCATCTGCTTTGGACTTATTCCAATCAGAGATCTTTATAAGAGGGTAATATTGAACAGCCTGGCAACCTTTATTAAACGTTTTAATGCTTTTTTTAAATTAGCAGCTGGAGCAGTTCTGTTGTCATTCTTTAACTGTAACAACCAAAATTCTTTCAGTCCTGTTGGCCCTAGGGGTTATGTTAGCAGAATGTGTGTAGAAATGGGGCAAAGAGGAATGCTTGGTTACTGCTGTTTAAAATGATGAGAGCGCTGAGGGTCACTTATTGCCTGTGCACAACACAGGGAGAGGCAGTAGGGCAAATACACAGCACCGGATGCTGCTTTTTAAAAAACAGTCACCTAAGGAGGTGTATGTACACCTACAGACAGATGCCTTGTGACAGTAGTATGCCAAAGGGCTGTGCTTCTACTATAGGTTCCTGTTCTTTATCTACCCCCATTTCTCCCTCACGTGTCTTGCTTATCCAGCCTGCTGGTCAGCTGGGTGATTTTGTTGACCCACACATTTAGCAGGGTAGAAGTCCTCTGGAGAAGCTGGGTCAGTCCTGCCAATTTGCTTTGACAAATACTGTTCCTTTCATTGTGAATACAAACTAGCTGGAGATCCATTTTTAAGTCCCACATGAGGTGGTACTTAGAGCAATGTGAAAACCTAAAGCAGGAACTCTGCAAGGTGCCAAATCAAGGAGCCTGTTCTGAGAATCTGGACTTATTTTATGATTTGTGTTACATTATGAGTACAAGTCAAACCCAGCAAAGGTTACCTTTTACTTTGTTTTGTTTAGTTCTGGTGCTGACTGTGTATGTTGGAGTAGTTATTGCTTGTGAACTCCATATATATATACCAACTGTTGTACACTGAATTATTTCCTTTTTATTTAGAGAATTAATTTCTGTACTACTTGATTTACTATGCTTTATGTACTGTTACCTGGTAAAACTAATGCTTTCATGTAAAAGGTGCTAGTGTGCTGTCAAGTGCTCTAGGATGTTTGCTAGCTAAAATCTCAGCTTCAGTGCAGCACCTGTCACAGCACTGTTGAAGAAGTGTGTGTTGCTCTTTAGTAGATGCATAATGGTACTTTATCTGCCTTTTAAAATATTATATGCTAGTGAGAGAACTACTTTTAGTAGAAGTCACCCTTAAGTAAGTACCAATGGAGTGGTAAGATAAGTTTTAATAGACTCATTTTTCCAGAAGAGAGTTCTCTTCCGTTTTAAAATACATAAAAAAGTTTTAAATAATATGCTGCCCATATAACTAACCTTAGGTAAAATAAAATGCATACTATCCCATTTATTAGATTTTTGTGCTATCACTCACTGCTTTTGCACAGCCAGTGTTCAATGCTGTATGACTAAATTCCTCGTGTCGTCTTTGTATTTGACAGGTCAATATGTGTTCTGTTGAAATAGAAAGGAGAAAAGTGCAGGGGTGTTGTTCCAGAATTAAATAAGGGCCTTGCAAAGAATTGGTTTAGCTTGTTATTTTATGCAAGATATCAAATCAAAACGTTTTTAAGGAAACTTCAACTAGGTTTTTTTCCTCATTTCAGAGGAGAGACATAGAAAAAGAATTACTTTAAAATGGGGGAAAAAAAATTCTCCACAGAAGTCCAGTCCTGTTTCATTTGGGGTGCAGTAAAAACAACAAAAATACAACATCAGGTAAAAGTTGTAAGCCCAGAAATAAATAAAATAAGGGCATCAGTCATTTCTATCGCTGGGGAACTTTCTTCATCTAAGCACATATGAACAATTGATCCTTGTAGTCATATATAGCAGTAAACATTAATAACTTAACAGTCTGAAGTCAGTGCTGAAGATATGGAGCATTATTGAAAGATGGAGTCGAGCAGGTGGCACTTTAATATGTTCAGTGTCATGGTTGACTCTAAAGACTAGTAGAATGAAATTACTTGAGGTTCTAAAGATTTAAAAAGCGAACTCATTTTGCTGCGCTAAGGAAATGCTACTGATCAGGCTTTCTGTGTCCCTTTTTTCTAGGCTAGAAAATATTAACCCTGAAGAAAATGACATGGTAAGCCATTCTCTGAGGAGATTTCTTGATGTCAGTCTTATATCTTAGAGGCTTAAGTTCAATTGAGTGGGTTTCAGGAACTAAGATGTGGGAAAAAGATGAATTGACACACTAATAATGTACATCTTTGCTGCAATATGAAAATTCAATAACTTCACTCAGTCAATTTACAATTCACATGTGCCTATTAATTAAAACCCTATATTAAATAAAATATATTAAAACTTCATGTCTGACTAACATATAATGCTGTTGGTAGACATTACAGGAATTACTGAACAGAATAAACAATGCAGACACAGGGATAGATATACTGAAGAATGGAGCTATAATTCTGAATCAAATACACAGGACCAAAGAATGTAAAAAGAAAATAATAGCTGAGGAAATGAATGCAGTAATAGAACAACGGGATGCTGCTTTGTCTCAAGTAAGTCTACAACTATATCATCAGTCAATACCAAATTTCTCTTTCTCTTTTTCTTTTTTCTCTTTTTTTTTTCTTTACTTTAAGGGAAGAAAATTATTTCATTTGCTTTTCTCTGTTGAAAATCTCAAAAGGGAGTCCTTGTAATGAATAGCTGATTAACGATCAACTGCTTCTTCATGGTCGTAGTGCCCACTGAAACTGCATCAGTGCATTTCATGAGAAAAGTTATTTTTCTATTGTTTACACCTCATCACTAGCTGTCTCCTTTTTTAAAACAAAATAGTTTTCAGTGTATTGACCAACCTAACAGCTATTAAGGGCTTAGTTTTGCAGTATGCTGTATTGTTATAATGCATTGGATGACAGTTAACTGTGACTCAAGGATTTGTGACGGGTTGTATGTGGCAGAAATATGCATTAAAGGAAGATAACGGCACCATATACAACAATGCAGGCAATTCTTCCTTTTGTTGCTTTACATTCAGGAGATAGAAATCAGCATGTGGTCCTTGACTTTCAAAGTCTTACACTTCAGCTACATGACTTGAAAGAACCTGAGGTCTTTTTTCTGCTCAGATCACTCATTCGCTGCAATTTCCAGTTTTAACAGATCAATACTGTTTTGATTTTCTTCACCATGAAGCGAGTCTCCTTGCTTTTCCCATCTCATGGAAGAGTTTTTCTGTTGTTGTTTTTTTTCCTCACAATTTTCTTTCCTGGATTTTAACATTCAGTTCAATAGGAACTGGCTGTAGGAAGGAGCAGTCCAAGTAGAGGATATATCTCCTGTGAAAACACAATATTGTAGACTGGATGAAACTCCTTATGTATTCATCCCAGTCAAGAAATTTCATCTGACTCTTCCAATATTGAAAATTTAGATTTTTAATGTGAGTTACCAAAGTTAGACTACATCTAACTAATTTCTATTAGCTTTAATGTCAGATTTGTGATCTTGAGTGGTACTGATGATGTTGGTTGAATTTATGTTGAATTAGGTAGTCTCCTGGTAAAAGAGTCCCTTCTACACACCCTGCAATTTTCACAATTTTTCAATCATTCTTTTTGCATTCTCTCCTATTCTAACCTTGAAAGCCACATCTGCCTGTTGCTTAAAAGATTTTGTGTGTCTATCCAGTATACACTGCAGAGTGTTAATGGTGGAATATGTTAATGGTGAAACTTTGTTTTTTCAGTTTACTTTCTTTTGCTTTTATAATAATGATGAGCAACATAGCTACTGGGAAACATCAAACAGTCCTGCTAAAAGTTGATGTTCTTTCTTCTTTGCTCAGGGCATTTGAAAAGTGAGAAGTTATTAAGAGAAAAGCTTCCAGCAAAAGAGAAGGCTCTTTTGATATTTTTATTTTTGTTTTGTCAGTTTTTGCTGCTTTTTTTAAAGTGGACTTTCAGGCGTACTTGAACAATAGGACTTTTATGAATGTCAGAAGAATGTTGTTGTAGGGCATTTTAATATACATTTTAATTGAATTGATCTTTAAGCTGCCTGATTAAGGAATAATCTTTTCCAAGTAGTCAGCTTGGAAATTAATAAAGATAATTGTTTTATATAGTAATGGTTCAAGTGCCACAACTAGCAAAGCCATCCTTAGGCCTCTCAGCAAAAAGCACAGGTAAAAAGCACTGGTAATGTTAAGTAGATAGCGCAGCTGAAAAAATAAATTAATAAAATATTAAATACCTGCCAAATGAAAATGTAAATATTTTGTATTAAGTTCTACTGCTGTTATTAAATCGTTTGCAATTTATAACACCATTGTTTTAAATTAATTTTTATTGATAGAACTCTATTGATTATGTATTGTGTTTTCACATATGTGATGTTTTATGGCTGTAACTCTTGAATCTAGAAAATAGGTCCTTGGAATTGAAGCTCCCATTTCAACCTGCATTTCTCACTTGATGATTCCTTGGGAATTCCTACCGTACTTGAATTATTAGTAGTCTTTTGTTAACATTGCAATAGCAGTAGTTATTACAGTGCTAACAGCAAGAACAATAGGAGAGGGATTCCTACATTAGACCACAAAGGGACTAGATATAATTCAGGGGATGTATATGCTTAGCATAACAAATGCAAATTATTGGAAGTTAGATCTGAGGTCGCCTCAGGCATTCATAACATCTGCAAGTTAAAATCTTTTTCTTTTTGGTGGAGGTGACATCAAATATGATGGGGGATTGATGAGATCAGGCTGAGACAAAGCAGAAATAGAGTAAACCATTAGCATGCTGTGGCTACCGTCTGGAAAAGGCATTTTTAAAGGTCAGAGGTCACTGGGCAGTGGAAGCTAAATGCTTCATGACACATTGTGTGAACACCGTGTTGCTCTGTTCCTGCTTGCTGTTGTGTGGTGCTGGAGACAGCAGTGTCATTTCAGTGACCACCATAACCTGTTCCATATGACAGAGACCCGCCTATACAATAATAAGGGTTTGGACTGACTGTGTTTAATGAAGCTGCATCTGTTATCCTTCTTTATGGTTTTCTTCACAAAAGCCTGGCATTTGACAATTGAGGACAGTGAATATAAGTAGCATCTACCTTTTTGGGTTTTACTTGTAGGATTTCTGATTTTTCTCAGTAAGAAACAGTAACACAAAAGCCTTCACAACTTGAACACATTGCTTTTATTTCAAGTAAGAAATAGGTTACATTCCTAGAGAATGGACATTCTATAAACTGTGCATTTCCTATGACCACGTAAATACAGATTACTTTCAACTAGTCTTTGAAATGTAGTTTTGCAATACTTTTCCTGGTAGTTATATTATTAAGTTGCATTTAGCTGGACCGCTATTGCAGCCTACTGGACAGTGGTTAGCTAGCTGTAGTTCTTCTGTGTGAATTAGAAGAATCCCTGCATATTATTTTGAGATTTCAAACGTGAGTGTTACTTCTTACTAGGCAGCAGATAGAGGCACTTCTATCACTGTATTGAGCTGTGCATGTGTCTGTAATCTTAGATCATTCGCTAGATTGCTGAGCAAATATGCAAACTACTTTTTCTATGTGTGAAAACAAATAAAATGGTATAAACTCAAATATTTGATACTACTTTTAGTATGTATTTTCAAGTGAATAAAAACCAAATAACTAAAGCGTGGCTAAACATTGACATCCATCTTCTCCTTTACCAACACCCTTAAAAAAACAAACTCAACTGTTTGGTTGTATTTGCTAAGATATGTTTGTTAGTGAACAGATATTTTGTTATACTGGGGAGCTTGAGTCTGTTTTATGACTGATCCTCTGAAAGGAAAATGGAGAAAGATGCTGACTGTCATGAGAAATAAAAAATCAGTTTATCTGTACTGTTTGGGTTTGTCTTAACCCATTCAAGGAAAAGAAAAAATAATTTGTCCAGTTGGTTCTACTGCTTTTCTTCAAAGATCTTTCTTGATTGAGTAATCCAATTAGTGACAGACATTTAATAAAGTTTACATATGGCATCGTCACACTGTGATCTTCATAAAATACTTTGAAGAAGTGGTTTCCAGCAGGAGGCAATACAGTGCAATGTCTCAAACTAGCAACCACCTACTAACCACATCACACCTTAGGGACAGGAATGTTAATATGATTACAAGGTTGGCAGCTGACGCTGAGGACTTCAGGAAGTCAGTACAATGACTTTTCTTCTGGGTTTAGAGAAGAAAGGGGACCTTTTGGTTGGTACAGCTTGAAGGAAGTGTTGTGTTGGGTTTTTTTAAAGCTAAATAAGAGATGGCTCAGGAGTTCGTTTTTTCATATGTTTTCAGTCCTAACTTTATTCTGGTTTGTTGGGTTTTTTTGGGAACAGTCAATTCTATACAGAGTTTTAAATATTAAAGGTGTAGAATTTGTTGTTAAGGAAAAACAGTGGTTTCATGGCTGGAAAAGTATCATCTGTAATACACTGATCTTGAAGCAATACCACAACTGGCAAGCAAACCTGGTTTTACAGCTTTGAATAGTTTGATCACATCCTGCTGTGCAGGAACATGCTTATGACTGTTCATGTAAAAAAATTGGCATGCACCCAGTTGCTCATCTGAAACAAGTTTAAGTACCTTTCTCCATTCTGAGGCACTGTTTGGCAGCAGGCAGCACTTCGTCGTCACTGAAAACAAAGATGAGAAGCACTACGCTTGACTGCCCATCATTATCAGTTTCGACTCATGACTAATAACTGATAAATGTCTGTACTTACAACAAGCCAGCTTCTTGCTAACTTTTTTTTTTTACATTCCACTCAAGCAATTTCCCGTCTTTTACACCAAATGCCGTGTAGAGCTCTGTGTTATCTGTGATTCACAGGGCATTAAGGCATTCTTAGTGCACATGAGTGAACAGGTCTTATTGAAGTAAGAAACCCAAGAGCTGTATGTAGCGTAAAAACAACGAAATTATATGTAAATGAAAACATTATTTACAGCTCTTGGCCCCTTAATTGGGGAATACTTAGTTAACAGGTTACAATGCCTCATGACTCTCCCATCTTAGGATAGACGTGATCCCTTTGCAACCCAAGTTGCAGTTTGGGATGTTATTTTTAGTAATTTGAATAAGCAGTTCAATTTTAAACTCTGTGTTTTTCTACGCTTTGACACTTCCTGGTTAAGGATACCAATCGAGTTCTTGGCTGGCAGGAGCACATTTGACAGAGTCCTCCTGGTTGCTCTCCCAGGATGCTGCCCCTACTACTACCTTTTCTGTTTTGCCACTGCTATTTGGGAACAGGAAAAGAAAAGGTAGGACACCATATTCACAGTTGTTTGCAAACCAGGAGTTGCTGTGGGGTACTGATGATTTTGGTCATGGACTTATTTGAGGAGGGAAATTAAAGTAAAGGAGATGTTTATTGTAATCTGATGATCCAAGTACCATGCTGGTTCACTGTTATGGCTGGTTTCCTTTGGGCAGGCAACAGCAAGACCCTCATTTGCAGCGCTTTTCTTCTAGAGGCGGCAGATGAATGGGCATGGGCAAATTACAT